AAGATATTAGATATTACAAGAAATTACAAGTGGCCACCAAGATGGCCTCGCTCATCAGAGCCACAGCTTCACAGGCTCTCGGTGAGAGCCCAGTTTTTATGAGTTTTGAAATCAATTCCAAGCCTGACTCCGCACGCTGCAAGTGTGTGAATTATAGCCGAACTAGCTGATGAGAACGAGAGAGGATTTAACACTGAATACAGCAGTAATCAACAACAATCTTAAAACTACGCTCAGCAGACTACAGCTCTTAAGGACATCAGCGTGGAGACAGCAGCGCTCAAATGGGAAGAGGAGGTGCTGTGTCCGGGAGAAGAAGAGAGGATGCCGGGCTGGTTTGTTAGTGAGACTGAAAGCTAACGCTAAGGCTGGCAGACTCCTGATACCCTCTCTCTTTCTGTCCAATGTCCGCTTTTTGAATAACAAGATGGATCTGCTTCGATTGAGAGTGGATGCCTCAGAGGAGATGAGAATATGTGCTGTACTCTGATGGAAACATGGCTTAATAGTTGCATGCTGGACTCAGCCTTCCAGCTGGATGACAGACTTGTTTTTCGATCAGATCGCTGCAGCGAACTAACGGGGATGACATGTGGAGGGGGAGTGTGCGTCTACATAAAAAAAGTTGGTCCACAAACTGTACTCTGGTAAACAGTTCATGCTCTGAGGCTTTAGGGCAACTGTGTGTGTGTCGACCACTTTATTTACCTCGGGAGTTTACGTGGTGTTTATAATAGCTGTCTATATAGCCTGGATGCTAATGCTAGGGACACCATGCAGGAGCTACATGAGAATATCAGTTCACTGTAAAACAAGCATCCAGAGGCTTTTCACGTGGTGGCTGGGTTAGGGTTGAATCTGAGGGATTTAACGTAAATCTGAGGGACACTCTGCCAAGATTTTATCAGCATGTGAGCATACCAACACAAGGAAATAACACTCTGGACTGTTTACACCAACATACACGACGCATACAAAGCTGTCCCCTGCCCCACTTTGGACTCTCTGATTACACCTCCATCTTTCTGGCCCCTGTTTACCTCCCCCTGCTGAGACGTTCCAGACCAACACAAAGAAACATCAGGGGGTGGGTGAGGAACAGTGACTCCATACTGAAGGACTGTTTTGAGTGTACAGACTGGCAGGTCTTCAGAGAAGCTGCTGTGAATGAAGGGGAGCTAGATCTGGAGGAATACACATCTGTGGTCCTTGGATACATTAGCAAGTGTGTCGATGATGTCACCACCACCAGGACTGTGAGGGTGCATTCACACCAGCCTTGTTTAGTCCGCTTTAATCGAACTCTAGCTTGTTTTCCTAGAAAGTCCGGTTCATTTGGGGAGGTGTGAACGCGCCATCGAACTCTGTCACGGAACAAAAAGGCGAACTCTGGCCCGGGCTAAAACCTAGGTCTCGGTCCGGTACAAGAGAACTCCAGCGCGGTTCGAGTGCAGTGTGAATGCAAACAGACCGGCCCCGCTCCACAAGCAAGAAGTGGAGTACAGCGCAGGGCAAACAAACACGCATTTCTCTTACTTCACATGGAGCCGTCTTGTGTGAAAAACAATATTTTCCATGGTCTTCTGCCTCATCTTCTGCTCATGCTGAGTCCATTTCGAAAAATGACAAAATATTACTCCTAAAACTGCTAAAACTTGATGCCACTCCCTTTTTGTTTTTATTTCCTGAAGAAGAAGAAGTGTCTTCAGAGGTTTTTGTGTTGTTTCTTTCAGTAGTTCTTGGTGCAGTGCCCCCACAGGCGAGTGGGGGAACAGGTTGGTTCAACAGGTTGGCTCGACTGCACAGTGCAGTGTGAATGCAAACGCGCAAGCTCAAATGTAAACAAAATGTCATGAATATTGGTCCCCAACCAAACCGAGTCTACTGGACTATCAGGTGTGAATGTACCCTGAAGTGCTATCCGAACCAGAAACCCTGGCTGAATGCAGAAGTTCGCACTTTGCTGGAAGCCAGGGACACTGCCTTCAGGTCTGGCAACCCAAAGAAGCTGAGGAGGACAAGGAAAGAGCTGGTTGCTGGTATTAAAAGGGCCAAAGCCACATGTGCACAGATGATCCAGGGACATTTCTCCTCACAAAACCCACGGAGCATGTGGAGGGGCATTAAGTGTATAACAGACTGTAAAGGAAGGGATTCACAATGCCCCAGAGACCGATCACTGCCTGATGTCCTCAACAAGTTCTATGCATACTTTGAAGACCCAATAGGTCTCTCTTGTAAATGAGTCCCCAAGGCTCAATGGGATTAACCTGTATAAATAAAGGTTGAATTAAAAACAAAAAACACCCAGCACAAGACTCACCTCACTACCGGAAGAGTAGTTTTTCAGTGTGACCTCATCTGAAGTATGGAGTACTTTCAGGAAGAATAATCCTCACAAAGCAACTGGCCCAGACAACATCCCAGGGAAGGAACCGGAAGACTGTACCGATCAGCTCTGCAAAATGCTGGCCAACATCTTTAACTTCTCCCTCACCCTGGCAATAGTTCCCACCTGCCTGAAGACTGCCACCATCATCCCAGTTCCAAAGAGCTCTGCAGTGACTGGTCTGAATGACTATCGGCCAGTGGCCCTCACCCTGATAGTCGCTAAATGCTTCGAAAGACTGGTCATGACCCACATCAAAACAACCATTATTTATTTATTAACCTTTATTTAACTAGGCAAATCCCAGTGAGATCACAGATCTCTTTTGCAAGGGAGGCATGGGCCTGAAGGCAGCCTAACATTAATGTTTTTGGTCTGTGGGAGGAAACCGGAGTATCCGGAGAAAACCCATGCAAGCATGAGAATAACATGCAAACTCCACACAGAAAGACACCAGGTCCAGAGATGAACCCAGAACCTTCTTGCTGTGAGGCAACAGTGCAAACCACTGAGCCGTCGTGCTGCCATCAACATCAGGGAGGACCCTCACCAGTACGTATACCGCAAGAATCGGAATAAGCTTTCACTACTAGAGGACAAATTGACCTCATTTCCTTAAAAAGAATTGTTAAAATAGAATAGATTTCATTTGATATTATTTCTGTCTTAACATGTGATTCTTGACCTGCCATTGTGTATCTGTTCCTACCAAACGCAGCCGGTTGAAGCAGATGGCCGTTTGTCCTGAGCCTGGTTCTGCTAAAGGTTTCTTCCTCACGAGGGAGTTTTTCCTTTCCACTGTCGCCTTCAGGCTTGCTCAAGATGAGAGTTCTGTGATGGAGTTCAATTCCAAGCAGATAAATAATGTTTAATTATTATTTGTATGAATGCTTCTGTTAACTTATTATTTTGATATATGAATGTTTCTGTTCAGTGCCCTGAAATGACTTCTGTTGTGACATAAATAAACTGAATTGAATTTAATCAAATCAAATCAAATTGAATTAACGGAAGTTCCACAGCCTACCGGGTCGTAGCATCTCACTTACCAGTGGATACCAAGAGAAAGGTTGTTCAGATGAAAAGTCATCCCAGAAAGTGGAATGCTTTCTCTGTGATGGTTGTCTGCTTTTAAAGATGAAGTCACAAAACGTACGACCAAACACAAGGGACCCCATCTCCTTGAGTGTCAGCTCACCTTATTTTTTGAAGGGGCGTCTCACTTTTCAAACCTTATCCAGTCACAACAGCTATTTTTCCAAAGGAGGTGGTCTTTAGCTAAACTTTTTACCTCAAAGATGTTACTCCTGTCTCAAAGTTCAAAATAAAGAAATAACCTTCTTATGAGTAATCTCAAAACATGCAAAATCTTTTATCAACATACTTTTCTCATAGGATATACTGTCATTTACCACATTGCTGATTGCTGGAATGTTATCTTAAACAAAAAAGACAAATAAAAATCAATTTTCATTCTGGGAGATACTTTACCATTAAAACAAATGTGGAAAACAACTTTGATTTCAAACTTAACATAAGTGCAAAACATATGTAATATTTGTGTTATCCATCTGGACAAATGTCCTGTGGTTTCCACAGTTAATTACCATACAACTGAGATTGTTATCCAGTTAACATGCCTGAGGGTATCAGAAGAGTTCTTTTGGAAGCTGGTGTAGGTGTTATGTCCTGTGCTCTCTGTGGGAGACAAACTCAACGAGGTTTCCGGCCTTTAGGCTTGTTTCAAACCGATAAACCCAAGGGAAGTCGGGATCTTTTTAACATAGAGACTGATAAGACTCATGACTGATAAGAAGTCCTGTCTTTGCTCAAAAGGGGGTGTCTCCTAGGTAATTAAATTCTGTCTGGTGTCAAGGAGGAATAGATTGTCTTCTTTTATTTTATTTTATTTTTTAATGTCTCCTAGAAGACAATGTGAAAAACAATGTGAAATGTGAAGACAATGAAAAAAAGTTTAAGCAATTTTCTAACCTTATCTGTAAACATTCATCTGTCTTTCAAACCTTTCTGGAAATGGACTTCAAAATTTTATTACACTTTAAAACTTCATTAATGGTCTGCTTTTTACAGTTCAGAGAGATGGGAAATGCTGCAAAAAAATATAATTTGTATTTAATCATAAAATACTAATATACATATATATATATATATATATACAGTATGTATATATATAGATATGTATATATATGTATATATATATGTATATATATATATGTATGTATGTATATATATATATATATATATATATATATATATATATATATATATATGTATGTATATATATATGTATGTATATGGAGAACACTGCTGTTAAAAAGTGCCTTTTTAATGTATTGAACATTGTTTATATAAAACAGTATCTTAAAAATGTTCTAAACAACTTTAAGTCATAATTTAATTTTGCACATATTAATGAGATTTATTGTGATTAATCACAGGATATTTAAGATTAATCGCGATTAAAAATTCTTATCTTTGCCCAGCAAAGATTACTCCTGCCTGTCAATAAAAATAAAATAAAAATCATTGCATCTGAGCCAGATGTGAAACTGACACTTTGCCGTGCTGTACCTGTCTCATGTGGCTTTAGATCCTGCTGGCCAACTTTCTGGCTCAGACAGAAGCCTTGATGAAGGGTAAGACCACAGAGGAGGCCAAGAAGGAGATGGAGGCAAATGGACTGAGTGGGGAGTCTCTAGATAAACTCCTGCCTCACAAGGTAACATTTAAAAAGTATATATGAATCTTTTATTATCAAGAATGAACCTGCTGCAGCTCTCAGAGTAAAAAAAAAAAGTCTCAACCTGATTTTTTGGAGGCTAATGTATCATCACTTGTTCTGAGAAGACGCTGCACCTTTGATTAAAGAGGTTGGAGATCGGAGGAGGTGGTGCCCTCCAGTGACCATAAATGCACCATGCAGTAAAATTGACTTTTCATGTGTTTGTTCTTCATTGATGCAGGTATTCCAAGGAAATCGACCAACAAACTCAATCATCTTCAAGAAATTAACACCTTACACTCTGGGAGCGCTCATAGGTGAGACTCAGTGAATGCATCGGTGATCATTTATCAAATGACATTGCTGATCTTTGAATCTTTCTTTTTATTAATCATTCATGTTATTGGTGCATTTTTTGTTTGTTTTTGCTTTTTAACATTTTATATCTTTAAATTGTCAACAGATCTATTGTTGTTATTATCACTTTAAATCTCTGGCAACAAAGCAGCATTTCCCACCTCTCTGAGCTGCAAAAAGAAGACCATTAAACACAGTTTTAAAGTGTAATCAAATTTGAAGTCCATTTCCTGAAAGTCTTGAAAGACACATATTTTACAGCCTAGAGTAAAGCTAAGGGGTGTTTCAAAAACATAAAGAAATTTAGAAGTTTTATGGCAGTACCAATTAAACTCAATTAAAAAGGAACAGAGGAAGAAAATGACAGAAAAGTTTGTAGAAGTAACGCATGAAGTGGTCAGGGTTGTGAAAGGAGCAACCACCTAAAGGCTTTCAGCTTGGTGGCAATTATCTATTAAAAAAGTGTCAGTTAGTTCAAGTAAAACTAGCTAAAACTTAAATAAGGTTGATAAAGCTAAATGAAGCAGGACTCTATTAGACTATAAAAACAGCTAAAAGCCAAAAGTAGCGACAGATTATTGAAAAATAGCTAAACACTACATAAAGCTTAATGTAGGATAAGGCTATCTTCAATCTAAATATCACAAAAGGCTAGAAAAATGTAGCAAAATAGTAGCTAAAAGCCAAAAGTGGCCTAAGAAGTCAAAATTAGAGCAAGCATCTTGAAGCAGGTGCCAAAGAGAACAACGCTCTGTAAGGATTTTTGAAGAGCTCTCATTACATTTTGATGAGGAAAAAGTTTGTAAATACAGTTAATTTTTTTAAAGAAGCATAAAAGTAAAAAAAATAACACTCATCTCCTGAATGAGCTGGGCAGTTTGACAAATGAAAAGCTAAAATAACACAAAGAATGCAGTGGTTAGATAACAATATGTTTGCAAAAATGTTTTTTTTTTTTTTAAATACAATACAGGAATGCCAAATGAGTGTGCACACAATTACAAACCCAAGTCTTGCTTCTGTTTTAGATGTTTGGATAGAAACTATTGTGGCAGACATTTAATAGCAGCATCAGATATGTAGCAAACAGCCGAAACATCATCCAGAGGTTTAGTGAGGACACTGAACACTGTTGCATAGTAACAGTCAGTTTGAACTGCCAACCTGAGCAAACACAATATATTACATGAATACACATACTAGCTTCAAAGTGTAACGGTAATCAGCTTCAGCTTCTTTATGTTGTTGCTGTTACATTAATTATTCTGTTTTGCAGCAATGTACGAGCACAAAATCTTTGTCCAGGGTGTGATGTGGGAGATCAACAGCTTTGATCAGTGGGGGTAAATCGATTTCTATATTCAGTGTTTGCCCATAACGTGTTTTATAGTTTGGATTTAAGTTATATATTTATATAGCTAAAATAAATCCATGAGTTGCTCTTCTTTTACTTATGCTCCCTTTTCTTCCCCTCGGCACCATCAGAGTTGAGCTGGGTAAGCAGCTTGCCAAGAAGATCGAGCCAGAACTGAAGGATGCCGCAGAGGTCCACTCCCACGACTCGTCCACCAACGGACTCATCAACTTCCTCAAGAAGAATCTTGCCTGAGTTTAAGAAGCCTAATTATTCCTTCTTTTGCTGCCTGTCATTATCCGTCTCCTCGGCTCAGGTGTGCCTGGACTGGAGTCTGGCTGAGGCAGCTGGTCACTCCCCCACAGCCGAGCTGAAGCATGCATGTCCTCTCATCATGAATGTATCCGAACTGTGGGTTCTCCAGTTTGATCCCAACTGTGAGGGGAGAAATCTTCTTTTCTTGTGTTTGTTGTGTCAGACTGGAGTGATGCTCCGTCTCTGTCGTTACAAGACAGTTTGTTTCTGAAATAAATATGGTTTCTCAGTTCTCCATTTCCACTCAGACTGTGTTGTTCAGTGTTCTCCCTACAGATGAGCCAGCCCATAAATAGATTAGAACTAATTAATCAAACTGCTTGTCACTAGATGGCGACAGAGAGCCAGTTTATTTGACTGGGAGCAGATCAAAACTCCCAGAAAAGAGCATTTATTGGAACAAAGGGTCAAAGGTCAATTCATTTGTCCTGCATTCTTCCCCCACCACAAATCCCCCGACTCCGCTGCATCCACTTACAGAAGAGAAAAACAAACAGCATCTGGAGCTCACTGACACCGAAACTAAGCATCACTAAACAAAACGTTTCAAAAGCATGTTAAACTTCCTATATGATGTTCTTCTATAAACATGAGGTCACATGTGATATTCACATGAAGAAGACCCAAACACGTCCAGCAATAAAGTATCCTGTTAGCAATGAAGCTGACGTTTATTACCTGGATGTTTTGTCTGAGTCTGTCTGTTAGCAAAATATCTCATGAAACAAGAGTTCTCATAGAACAAAACTCTCAGTAAATAATTACTGGATGCAGCTCTACAACTGATTAACATTTGGAGTCAACCCCAAGATGGTTCAAGATGGCTGCCACAGCAAAGTGACTGTAGCAAACACAAACATGGCTATAACTCAGCTAATATGATAAATATTAAGCTAAAGGTTTGTGTTTTAATAGCTGTGGTGTCACTCAAAACACACAATTTGAGCACTAATTGATTGGATGAGATTTGATTATTATTTAATACTTTTTCAATACCTATTGGATTGAAAGATGTCTCTCTGTTAACAAAATATCTCATGAACGGCTGGGCAGAATTGAATGAAACTCAGCCTAGCAATCTCTCAGTGGACATCTGTAATTGATTACCTTTTAGTGTCACTGCAAGTCAAGATGGCCACCACAGCCAAATACATAGTACAAGAATGTCTATGAGTAATATTCCAGAGCTAAAACTTGCTATGGCAGTAGCTGAGCATCACCCCAAACACATTGTGCAGATTTTTTTGCTTAAATTATTTACAATAGCGGTTGCCACCTTGTCACAAACCACTGAACATATCCTAATGAGGCTCCCAGAAATTAATTCATCATTGGTTGTGTGCTTCTAAAACAGTGGAGTCCACCCAATTCAAGATGGCTGCCACAGCTTGCCAGTCGTCACCAACACAAAATAGGTGTGCCTTTGTCAGTTTCACAGATATTAAACTATAATTTGGTGTGGTAGTAGCTGAGAGTCACCCTAAACACGCAGTCTGAGTGTTATTACATCCTGTGAGGAAAAATAGCTCTCACAGCATCATTTACAAACTTCTGTGTTTCCGTCCTTTCACATCATAAAATGATTTTAGCATAAAATTCTGGGATGAAAGGTGGTGGGCGATATGCATTCCTACTTTGTTTCCATTTCTCTTCTGGGTACAGTTACAGTGTGCACGAGGACAAACACAAAATTAAAAAGGAAATCGCAGACCCCCAGACATTGCTGAATTTTCATTGCTGTTGCCAGGCAACACTACTTTACTTCAGTCTAACTTGTCCTTTTTTTTTGTCTCTAGCTCTGAAACAAAATACAAAAGCGTGTAAGTTGGTCCGGTACATCCTTCCTTTCTTAGAGTTATTACTTGCAATGTGTCCTCTATGAACTTAGCCACTTCTTCATTGTGTTTCAGTGATCACTGTGTTGAATTAAAGCAGCAGAAAATGCGTTGACACGAGGAAACAACAAGCAGGGCCGGGCTTGTGAAATCAAAGCCTGAAAGCACGGATAGCGTTCTGTATGCGTTCCTGAGATGTTTTTGAAACAATGCAGCTGCACACCTTCACGTTCCTCTTCACTCTCTGTTAGTCAGGAACTTTCTTTTCCTTCTGTCTGTTCCTCCTCGTCCATCCTTCCCCAGTGCAAAGTTGTCATGGTAACATAACCCTTTGCCAGACCCTACAGATCACGCAGAGCTGGAGTGGAGTTTTGGACACATCTGAATGTGTAAAGGACACAAACATTTTTTTTAAATGCATGTTTTTTGTCTTCTTTTTTTATGTTCTTAACACTTTTGTGGTCATGATGAGCTGCAGCGCTGGAAGCAGTTTGAAGATCAGCATCCCTGCATGTAAAAAATAAAGTTTAAACTCCAGCCTCAGAGCAGCAGGGTGGCCTGAAAGTCTGCAGCCAGTTGCTTTTTAAATTCCCCTCATGAACTTTATTGGACTGCTTCATGTATTCAGCTGTCCTCCCACTCCCAGAAACCTTCAGGGATAACTTTCTTTTAGGCTAAATGTCCACCCTGCAAACCAGTGACCGGTGGCTGTCGTCAACAGTGACAGAGAAACCCTGGAGGATGTTTAATTTTTTTTTTCTTTTTTAAAAGAAGCCGGCATGTCAAGCCCAGTTTCATTTTTCCCACGACTACAAGAGTTATAAAAAGATTTAGTCAAGTACATGGGTAGAGGCAGGCCCAACGGAGCCTGAGACGTCCTCAGAGGGCTGTAGTTTGCACAGTCTCCTTGTTACCCCTCCATTTTCTGCACATCCCCACAAACTGGACAATGCAGAAACTGTTTCTTGCATACTCTAACCTCAACAACCTCTTCATGCATATGCTCAAACCCCTGGTGTTATTATGCTTCTAAAAGAAAATGTTTAAGTGTCGTGGAACTCAGCCACAGTGAAACAACTGGTCTCAAAATGATTTAAGGAAAGGAAGATGCTGAACTTCAGTCTCAGTGTAGAACTTCCTGACCAATTGGAAACTTGTTTAAGTAATTTTTCTTTGATAGACTACCAGATACCTGGTGTCAGTTTCCAGCAGGCTGTGTAGGTTTATTTGCATATTAAGCACCCAAGTTAAGGCTTTCCATCTTTACAGCTTCTAATGAATCTATAGATATAAACTTACCAACATCTGGCCCTTATCTGCATTTCAATGTAAGAAACATACATAAAAATAAATGTACTCCCACGCTGGCTCCTGCTTTCACTGGAAAAACATCATGATCACAGCAGTTCCTCCAATAATGGCTCGCAGTCATACTTTTCTTTTGGTTTCTGCTTCTGGTTGTAATCAGATTTGGTACCGAGCTGACTTTTAGTCACTAACAACGTAGAGGTGGCAGCAGGGTTGTGTGTTTTAAGCCTCACTGTTTTATAATCTTTTAACAAAGGTGACTCAGTCCAGCATCAATATAATGAAGTCATATTTAAAAAGGAATCGCTCACCTCTGCTATTTCTTATGATAGAAAAATGTGGGGTTTTATCAGAGAATTGACGATACGTGAGAATAATTTGTATTGTATTTTTGTCACAAGAACAGAACACCCAGAGCAAAAGGATTGAGCATGAAAAACTCATACACAATAGTATAAATTCAGTGCTTTTATTAATGGATCAGGAAGTATCAGGAACTCTGGAGAGCAAGGAGATGGGTCATGTAGAAAGTTCTGTAATAAGGGGTTGATCAGAACGTTCAGGATCCTTACTAGTAGATGGTAGTTTGGTTCCAATATCCTGTACAATATCCTGTAGGATTATTGTGTTGCACTTTTCTTAGACCTGTCTAAAGCTTTTGACACTGTGGATCATGACATCTTGTGTCATAAGCTCTCAGAAATTGGTTTCTCAGATCACACCAATGGTTGATTCTCTACCTATCTTTTAAATTCGGAGGCAATGTGTTGAACATAATGGTACTTCCTCCAGTTATTTAACAGTCAACAATGGTGTACCACAAGGTTCAGTCTTAGGACCTACCCTCTTTACAATCTACATAGGTAGGTAATGTAGATCAGTGCATCCCTGATGCATCCTTACACTTCTATGCTGTTGAGACAGTTGTTTCTTGTCAAGCTAAAACAGTTGTTAGGTTTTCCAGCTTTTGCAATCCACTTTCGACATCATCCAGTCTGATTAGTTCCATGTCAAACTTGTACTAAATGCTGACAAAACCAAAGGGATGCTTTTTTCAAACAGGAAGTCGGTCCCAGCAGTTCTTCCTCTGATTTTATCCTCAAATGGTGTTGCTATGTCTCGCCTGATCAAGAAAGATCATCAGAGACTCTACTTCCTCAGGCGGCTGAGACGAGCTGGACTGGGAAGCTCGGTCCTCACCTCCTTCTACAGGTGTGCAGTGGAGAGCATCCTGTGCTCCAGCATCAACGTGTGGCATGGAGGCTGCACAGCTGCAGAAAGAAAAGTTTTGCTGAGAGTGGTGAAGGCTGCACAGAAGACTGTTGGAGTCAGTCTCCCCACCATCACAGACATTTACACCTCTAGATGCAGGAAGAGGGACACCTACATCATGAAGGACCACACTCACCCAGCACACACACTTTTTGCCCCGCTCCCCTCATGAAGGAGGTTGAGGAGTATTAAGTGTAGAACCACTAGACTGAGTAACAGCATCTACACTCATGAATCTCTTACCAGAATAATCACTGTGAAAAATCACATCATGCTGCTGATCTGTTTCATGTTGAGGTGTTCATGCGTGCTCATCTGCTCACACAGATTCATGCTCATATTTGTGCTGCTGTTTGGCGTAATGTTTTTATGCTATAGTGCTTAGTGTATTTATAGTTGATGTTTTTCTTAGTTCATATCTTAGATGTTATAATTGTTTTTCTTTTACATTTTATTGTTGGATGTAACTGGGACCCTGTGTACATAATTTCGTTCCACCGTAGTACATGTGGTGGAATGACAATAAAGAAACTCTGACTCTCTGACTATTGAGTTTGTTGATTCCTATCAATATTTGGGTATCATGGTCGATTCGTATCTCTCTTTTAAGCTTCACGTGGAAAACCTAGTAAGGAATTTGAAAGTTAAATTGGGT